AGGCAGGCAACAGGAAGATGAGTAACTGTCACACTGAGGGAAACTTGAGCAAAAGAGACGTCAAAGCCCACCCCCACAGTGACACACTTTCTCCAACAAGGTGGTACCTCCTAAGAGTGCCACTCCCTTTGGGGGCCATTTTCTTCCAAACCACCACACTATGTTTTATTGATACTCATGGGAGACAGAAGAGGAGGGTATTAGAAGGTAGAAGTGGGGGCGGAGGGAAGGCTGGGAGGGGAGGATGGGGGAGGCTGTGGCCAAGAAATAAAATAAATAGATGAATTAAAAAACCTTAATATTTGACATTTTTAGCATTAGAATGCTGAGCCTTTTGGCATTTCTCCACCAATGAACCTGACTCTGATCTGAGTGTTCTCTCTTTCTCTCCCTCCTTCCCTCCCTCCCTCCCTCTCCCTCCCACTCCCTCTCCCCTCCTCCCTGTCCACCCCCATAGGATGGTTGGATTAAGGTGTTTTTGACTTTATGAGACATAAAATAGAAAAATCATGCTTTGAATTTTGAAAGGTGACTCCTCCCTACCCCCGCCCAGTCTGATGTAAGTGGCATCATCATACTTTCGGGATACTGGCCCCCTCAGCAACATGATCGGGAGGAGAAGCAAGTAGTGCCGTAAGTACACTGATTTCCAAGCCATTGTGCCATGCATTTCTGATGTAGGATATTTTCAATATATAATGGGTTCCTCAGGATGTAAATGTCAGTGGTTAAAGAGCAACAGCACATAGACTTATGTTTTGGCATTAATATATAAATGGTTAAATGAACTAACCCATGCATTTTGTTCAAATTAATGAAAATAATTTATTTAACAAACTTTTATTAAATTCTTGACTTATATCAGAAAACAACAACAACAACAAAAATCACATTTCCAGTTTCTTAGAGCCTTAGAGAAGACCATCCTTTCCCAGGTGAATAGCTGCCAATCTGGCAGATATTCCTCAGATGGAAAATTAATTTGGTCTTTATTTCAGAAGTATTGTAGCTTATTGGTGTTGGGAGTATTTTCTGTTATCTAGGCAGAAGCTTCTCTGAGCAGTTAGTATTATTCTCTCCACTAGAGTTCATATCTTGGCTTGGCTTCTATAATTTTATCCAATAGCCTGGACTCTTAGTATTCCTACAACAGTAATAATTATAAAACACAGAAAGTGAAATTCTGCCAGATGTTGAAGTATTGCATTGTATTAATGTGAGATGTTCAGAAGGAAGCAGTTGTTAGCACCCTCACCCATTTTTAGCTGAAGGGGATCTAATAATGCTGACTCTAATTTTCTTTTGGTCTGATAATTACAGGGTGTATAATTCTGGTCCAAATAAAGGTTACAATCTGCTTTCATTTGTCCCAGTCCTTTTCCCCCAGTGTCTTGCATCTAGAACAGACTGTCATCACCATTTTCACAGAACTTCTATTATACATTGCTATTCTCCACCACACTCAACAAGATAAAGAGTTCCCTGGTGCTTACCTTGTAAGAGAGACAGTCTTGATAAATAAGTGTGAGAAATTTACCAGTCCATCCAAGTGTTTAGCCAGCCATTCGTGGGGCCTTCCCAACAGACACTGGCGGAATGAAACCATCGTTCTTTCCTCTACATCCCCTGGAAATTGCTTCTCATGTCAAGAGAACAGGAGATTGTTACCAGTTCTTTAGAGAAAGCTTCACCTCAAAGTGGAATCACGTTTCATAATTGCTACTCTCATTTAATATTTAAAATCTGGATAAGATTTGTCCTTCTACTTCAAGAATATATACTTTTAGATTATGACAGGGAACAGCAGAGTTCAAGGAAATCGAATAAATCCAAGTGAGCTCCCAGGAGGAGAACAAAAGTGATTAATGGGGTAAGGGATTTGATACATGAGATAAACTGCCAACAGAAACCTCACAGGCTCATCCAATAATAGTGTTGATTCCAAACCTCCTGGAAGCTGAAACGAGAGATGAGGACTTCAGAATTTAACATGACATCATTTGTATGAAACCCAGAACAAATACACAAAAATGGTGTCATCGTCTTTGAACATCTGTCCATATTGCCAAAGTATAGAAGTAAAGGTGGAGACGACGCACAGGGTCTCAGGATAGTGTTAAGTCTGTGGTGGTGGAGTGTAAGGACTTAGGGAAATCTTTAAATGGGGCATTTGAACATTCCCTCCCTTCCTCCCTCCCTCCCTTACTCACTTCATTTTTTTCTTCCTCCTTCTCCTCTTTTTCTTCAATTTTTTCTTCATTAGGTTTCAAAGAAATATTTTATACCCTTTGTAGTTTTCTGTATATATTTTGAGCATTTCATATGAACAATGTGTTCTACAAATTTAAGGAAATGGTGTTGTTTGTCTGAGCATGGGAATGGAATTCATGACATTTATGACCCAGGAGGTCAACTCTAATTCTAATCTGTGGCCCATGTTTTATGAATGAGAATGCCAAGTCCGAAGAAGTATGATAATTTTTAAGGCCACAGAACTGGTCTCATTAAGGATATAATTCATGTGCACACTAGGGTCTCAGCTTCATATATATCACAAGCACGGACTGGAAGCAAAACCTTCCTAATGATACCATCCATCCTGCTCTCACTCCAAGGGAAGTGATGGAAGGCTCCTCACTGGAGACGTTGCAAATGTGTGGACATTTTTTCTGAAAGGACAGGTTGGGCTTGAAATGAATTCAAGTCACTAAACAAATTTAGTGTCTAGTAATTGCAAGGGATTATACATTTTTTCCCTAGACGAGACTCTCATAGATCTATTTCATCTCTTTGTGATGGCTTTCCTCTTAATTGGCTTAATTAATACAGATGTAATAACAAATCCAAATGTCGTAGGTGAACCAAGGAAGGGATTAGAAACCACAATCCTAGGAGCCCTTTATATCAGGATATGGCATCCTCAAACTCTAGAAATGAATCCCATATTTAGAAACAAGTTGTGAAGGTAAGAATTGGCTAGATGAACAAGGACAGCAGTTAGGTGTCTCAACAGAGTCAAGTTACCAGGCTCTGGAAATAACAAGTGGAAAACCCATTCTTCCTGGACCAACCCTCGTATGTCTACTGTGAAGCCTCATGAAACAACACAGATGGCAGAAGTGTTAGGAAAGAGCACAGAAGCGGGAGTGCTCCGCAGAGAGTGCTCCCTGTCGGCAGGTGAAAAGCAAGCCCTGAGTTGCAGAGCATGGAGTTTCTGCTGCCTGGATCTGCAGCAAACGTAAAACTAGAATTATTGAAATAATTCTTTGGGAGCTCTAGTTTGAGAACAATTCTAACAACAACATTTATTCTCCTGAATAATTTTTGAATGACTGAACCTCATTGTTTTGGGATTAGTGAATGGGGCAGCTATGTTTTTCAGGGGTTCTTCCACGTCTATGACCTTAAATCTAGTCTTATCTCCAAGGCTAGACATGGCTCAGCCAGAAATGTTGTTTAATACTGTTGGCTAGTATGAGTTCAGATGTTTCTAGGTTCCTTGACACATCTGGGTTGAGTGGGTTATCATGTTGTCAGGCAGGGCTTGGTAATGAGGAGAAGGCTGCAGATGGTAACAAGTTTCCCAAATCCATTCAGGGGTCACAAACATACCCGCCGAGGTCCACACTCAGCTGTCCTCGTGTACTTCCCTATGGGGATTGTGGGAGAATCTGAGTGTGAGAATAAGAGGAGGCACTGTAGAAGTAGCAGCCACCAGCTTCCAACTGTCCCCGCTCCAGCCCCGGTCCATGGTCATCACTACCCCCTGGGTCATTGGAGGTCTGAAGGACTGGACATCCAGGGATGAGGTGGTGGAGGTGGTGATGGCATGTGGGCCTTGAGGCGGAAGAAAAGTGAGAAGTGGTGTTGGATGGTTGGACATTGCCAAATTTACTGGAGATGGTCCTGAAAATTAATATTTTTTCCTGAAATCGTTCAAAGCACATCTTCCTTTGCTCTCAGAGAAGTCTGCATTTGAGTGATGAATTGCACCGTCACTGCAGAGTGGTCATGGGGCATGGGACGAGCATATATACTGCTCCTATTAATTCAGACCAGAACATGAACACTGTCTCCTCCAAGTTTTGGCCCTTTGGTGCTTGTGCTCTGACTCACAGCTGAGAAAAGGGGCAAAGGTCAACGTCATCATCATTTCTTACATCCGACTGCTTTGGAGGCTGAATTTAAATGGCTCCTGTCTTTGAAGCTGCAAATGAGCCCTGTCGAATCCACAGGGTTGTCAGGGGCCTTGCTGAGGCATGGGCCAGGCCGAAGGACCCCCCCACACACACACCAGAGAGGCCTCCCCAGCTCTCACGGAGCCTACGCATCCAGTGCAACAGTTGCTCTTAGACCGACTAGCCTCGCTTCCCGTCTGCATGTGAACAGCCGGCCACATATTATGCAGAACAGTTGAGAAGTTTTTCCATATATTCCTGGAAAAATTAACTGATCCTGTTTATGATCAGCCATTGGTGACGATCAAGCTTGCACAGACCAAGGAGTGATTAAATCTGAAAAGAAAAGTGGGCATTTTAAGCAGGCTTGTATTCTTTCACCATTGAAATCATCTTATTCATGTATTTTCTTCCGTCTGGTAGCATTTTGGTATACAGTCCATGTTCAAGATCACAATGGAAGCAGTACACAGAACAGAAATGAAATGAACTTCAACAATAGAAGATTTTAGATATTCTGGGCAGTTCTCCCTGTAGGCCAGGCTTGGCCTGATAATGAAATGAAGGTCTCGGGGCTCATCAGCAAGGCACAGAGCAGTGGGTTCTGTATTTCTTATGGAGAAAGAAGCACACAGTTAGTTTGTTTAGGAAAGAACTTGGCAAGTAAGTTGATTAGCACTTCAGGGAGGGTGGATTATACTCCGTTCACTGTCAGAATACAAAGTAGAGATGTGGCGTGAATTCTGCCTAGGAAACGTCTTTTCTAGAATCACATAGAGAAGCCAGTAGAAGTGTGTGTTCCCTGTAAGGGGAAATCCTGCCTCCCTTTTCTCAAGACCCTAGGAAAAAAACCTGGACACTGCTGAGTAACATGACCTTCCCAAGACACACACAGAAGTGAAAGTCTGGAATCCCCTGGGTTCCGTGTGCTTTTGAGCATGGCCTGCCTGATTAGGAGCCTCTGGAGGAGAGAAAAGTGATGAGAAACTGGAAGATTAACACTGGACTCACAGACGTCCAATCTACACCACCTGGCAGGAGAAAGTTCACAGGGAAAGGGCTCAACCCTTCCGGTAACTCTTTGTTTTCTCTCCTCGAAACCAAAAAAAAAAAAAAAAAAAAAAAAGGATAGCAAGTACTTTTGATTGGGAGGGGGTCAGGGGGAGGAAAAAGGGAGATGCTTTATAATGAAACACTGCTTTTGAGGCTTCTGCCAACTTCATATACTATGAGATCGGAGACTGGGATCCAAGTTCGTAACTCCATTTACAGGATACTGGTGGCTCTAGCTTCTGGGAATGGCTCACAAGCCTATAGAAATTATAATTCTCCTCAGCTTTGAGACACAGGGGCAGATGTAGGTCAGCCATATACCCACCCTTAGAGCAGCCACAGCCCATGAGCAGCTGCACTGGTACCCAGGGGGCTGTGAAGTGAATATGGATGGGAAGCCTTAGAACAGAGTCCCTTCCTCTGGCAAGACAGAGGAGGTATTGGGGGTTGTTGGAGGTGGAAGTCACTTCTACAGTGAGTGAAATTACATGCCTCAAAAAGATACAGGCAGGCTGGAGAGATGGCTCAGCGGTTAAGAGCACTGGCTGCTCTTCCAGAGGTCCTGAGTTCAATTCCCAGCAACCACATGGTGGCTCCCAACCATCTGTAATGAGATCTGGCGCCCTCTTCTGGCATGCAGGCAGAACACTGTACACATAGTAAATAAAATCTTTAAAAAAAAAAAAAAAAGATACAGGCAAGTCCTACTCCACGGGCACCTGTGCGCATGACCTACTTTGGAAGATTAGCCTTCGCAGATGTAATTAGCTAGAGGTGACATCATCGCAGGTTGAGTAGGTCTGTGACCTAGTGACAGAAGAGGACATCTGACATAGGGGTGGAGACCACACAAAGATGATGGTAGAGATCGGAGCTATGCACAGACAGCCTGGAAATTCTGTTTCTAAGGAAGACCAGACAGGAGAGTGGGATCTGGACACTTTGGTTTTTGGGTTCTGGCCCCTAGACCTGAGGCAGAGACATCTCTGGTGTTTAGTAGCAAGCTTGGGGTCACTTGTTTCTCCACCCTAGAAAATCTGTACAGACTCCACCTTGACATCTGCCCCCTATGGAGAACACATGTGCAGTCCGTTGAACAGATTATCCCTTCCTGAAGACCCACCGTTCCTTCCCTCTCCCTTTCCACAAGCTCAGCTCTCCTCACAAAGGCCTTCCTTAATGAGGGCCATCTGGGAGCAAACACCTGACATGCTTAAACATGAGGTTTGCCTGCCTTTAGTGAGGCGGTGGAGACAGGTCCAACTGGTCATTTCACACGGTTTGTATTGGAGATTGGGGTAGGTACAAGATGCTGTGGGAAAGAGGAGCATGGACATAGGGGCTTTCCCAGGATGGGAGCGTTTGAGCTGTTGCCCTTGAGAAGCGAGATAAAAGTGGGTGGGGGAATGGGAAGAGGCATTGTGAGCAGAGGAAAATGTCATTAAGGTGGATTTTGAGGGGGTGAGCATCAGAGACAGATCCTTGTGTGTACTTCTTTTTGCTCTTGTGACAGCTGATGGAATACTGGACTGTTGGGGACATTCTGTTACTTGCATTGTGTCCCTGAAGATGATTTTTGGGTTCAGAGTCTGTCCTGGGCATGGGGAGTGATGATAGTGCAGAGCTGCTCTGGGAGGGTTAGTCCTCTCTTGTCTTGGTGGTCTACTGGCATTTTACTGGATCTAGGACTTGTGGAACAATTGACCTGCACCACAGGTGCAGGCCCAGGACTCCTGAAGTGGGCAGTGATAGGTACAGAGATGACCATGACCATGAAATCATTTTACCAAGAGCTAAACAGGCCACGAAGGAGTCTATCAAAGTTTCTCTCTCTCTCTCTCTCTCTCTCTCTCTCTCTCTCTCTCTCTCTCTCTCTCTCTCTCTCTCTCTCTGTGGTGTCCTCATGTAGAGGCCAGAGGTCAATGTCAGGTATTTTCCTCAGTGGCTCCCCACATCATCATCATCATCATCCTCAGCATCATCATCATGATTATCAGCATCATCATCATTTATTATTTTGAGTTTTTTGAGACAGGATTTCTCTGTGTATTCCTGGATGTCTTGGAACTTGCTCTGTAAACCAGGCTGGCCTCAAACTTAGAGATCTGCCTGCTTCTGCCTCCTGTTTTATTATTATTTTTAAGACGGACCTCTCACTGAATCTGCAGTCTGACCATTGGTGACTGGGTGACCAGCAAACTCTAGGGATTCTCCTGACTGTGTCTTCCAAGCACTGGGATTACAAGCAGGTGCCTGGATGATGTATCCCAAGTCTCCAGCATAGTGCTATCATTTTATAAGTGTCCAGTGATCAACAATGCCCTTTCCCAAGGGCACTTTCCAGCTGACTGGAATTCTGAAGTCAGGACTCAAGTCAGGTGGTGTCTGTGAGTCAAGAGTAGATATAGGCTGACAGCTTGGTCAGGAATGGAGAGTGAGATATGGGGGTGGTAAAGGATGGAACGCATCACGAGGGTTAAGACAGCTCACTTTTTCATAGATGTGAAAGGAAGTGAAGGTCACTGATGTCTGCTGATAAAATTTCAAACTTCTGCTGAATTAACCTTTTGGTGCTGATCTATGATAAGTGGAGAAACAAAAAGTTAAGCAAGCCAGCCTTGTGTTACAATGACTGCCACTTTAGAGGACCTTTGAGAGGTGGGACAGCATTCCAACCTGGGGAATTTGAGAGCTTCAGACGTAAGCCAGCGGTTGGGCCAGTTAGTTTCACCTCCCATATCTCCATCCAGGTCTCTTCCCCTACATTTATTTTGTCTGTGTTTAATATCCAATACATTTTAACAGACTAGCTCCCTTCCTCCACCCCTGTGTGTGTGTGTGTGTGTGTGTGTGTGTGTGTGTGTGTGTGTGTGTGTGTGTCTGTTTCTGTCACAGCCTGGCTTGGTTTATAGTCTGGCTTGGTTTACAGGGTGCTGGTGCCTTAGCCTCTGAAGTGACAGGATTATTCTATGTTGTTTAATAACACGTCTCTACCTTTTTCTTCAGTCAGCTTTTAACTCAAACCCCTTTATCTCCCTGCTCCCCACTTTGTTTTGCTCCTACAATTTCTCTTTCTTCTTTCTTCCTTGTACTTTTCTCTCAGTACCTGTTACTAGTTTTACTGTGGTTTTCCCCTTTCCAGTCCTACCCTTGTAACGAATGTATTAGCGCACACAGCACTTGACTCTGAAATGATCAGCAATTATGGAGCTGTGGTTTTATAATCGACTATTGTTCTATTCTAGTTGTGAGCTCTCCCATGGAGAAGAACTGTTATAGCAGACAGTATTCTACTCACTCGGGAAGACTGAGGATAGAGCCTGGTGCCCCGAATGCCAGTCTAACAGAGGAAAATGACACTTCAACCCTATTATAACTTCACCCCTGCCAACACTGCAAACATTTCTACTGAAAGAAGAAAGATCACATAAGTAAGTAAATAAGTAAAGAACTCAACCAGCATTCTAATTCCTGTTGGCTAAATCTTAACAGTGTAAATAGCTCAGTGTCTGATTTCTAGGATTCGTGATCAGCTGTACTCCAAAGGGATTGGGTAGGCCTATGTCTCCAACTCTCCTGCCTCCATTTTCTACATTTGGTTGAAGATGTGATTGCTCAGCTTCCTGCTTTTATGGACTCTTCCTCTGGAGCCATAAGCCAAAATAGACTTTTTCTTTCATAACTCACTTCAAATCATGGAAATTTATCACAGTAACACAGCAGTAGGCAAACACTTTACCAACTGAACCATATCCCCAGCGCAGACCTTTTATATAGGTATATTTATGAGGGAGTTGAGTGTGTATAGAGCCCAAAAAACTAGGAAAGTGCCAAGTAGAGGTTAAAAAAACCAACAAAATGAAATTAAAATAAATAAACCATCAAAAATCCAAATAAGGAAAAAAAAAAGAAAGAAACCAAAAGTGCATAAAAAACCATGGTGTTGTTGGCCAACTGCTCTTGGGCATGGGACCTGCCATGGAGTGTGGTTTATATACCCAGTGATATTCCACTGGAGAAAACCCTATAGATATCAATTTCAAATAGCTTCTTAGTTAGGGATGGGACTTTGTGTCTATTTCTCCCTTTCAGTACTGGGATTTTGTCTTATTTGAACCTATTAAGGTCTTATACCTGCTGTCAAAGTCTTGGTGAGTTTATATGTGTATCAGCCTTTTTGTGTCTGGAAGATACTTTTTCCTTGTAGTAATCCACCATCTCTGGCACTTACAAGTTTTCCATCTCCTTTCTGAATAGATCCCTGAGCGTCGAGGGGAGGAATTTAGACTTCCCATTTAGGACTGAGTGCTCCAAAGTGTCTCACACTCTGCATGCTGTTCAGTTGTGAGTCTCCACATTAATTACCATCTACTTCGAGAAGAAGCTTCTCTGATGAGGGTTGTATAATGCACTGATCGATGGGTATAGTGGCATGTTATTAGAAGCAATTTTATTGCTATCATCATTTAGCAGAATAATACTAGTCTCAGGTTTGGGGCCACTTTAGTAGTGTCAAGAATGGGTTCCATCTCATGTGGTAGGTCTTAAATCCAATTTGGAGGAGAAGAAAAAAGAAAGAAAGTTGGTTACTTCTATAGCGTTGATGCACTATTGCATCAGTCTATCTTACAGGCAGGTCACAATCGTAGGTCACAGGGTTTACAGCCGGGTGGTTTTGATGATAAATGTTCTCCTCGTGTAGTATGCAAGTACCTTCTAGCTCCATAAGTGCTAGTCTGTAGGAGTGAAGCTTCTAGTTGGGCAGCAGCTTGCTTTCTCCATGTTTGATGAGATAAGTAAGTGGTGTCTTCAGCATTAGGTTGTAGAGAGTTGTAGACCTGTCAATAGCCTGTGATTTTTTTGGGGGGGCCTGGTGGTGGTCTATAGGAACCCTTTGGCCAATGACTCAGTAATATGTACCCCATTCCTGGTCCTAGAGGGGAAATATGCTTTTAGGGGAGGAGGGGTAGTGAAATGGAAGTGGAAGGGAGACTAATGGAGGTGGAAATGTTTAAGCGGGGAGAAGGTAGAAAGATGGGGGAAGAGGGGAGTCAGGGAGGGACAATCAAAAGGAACAGATCATGAAAAAATATAAGCAAGACTGAGAGTTGGGAAGGTGATCAAAACCTGAAGTTTTTATTAGCATTTTTCTTACATTTTCTTTGTTTATTGTTTATTTATTTATTTACTGTGCCTGTGTGTGTACTTGCTCACGCATGTGTCATGGTAAGTGTGCAGAAGTCAGAGGACACTTGAGGAAGTTGGTTCTTTCCTTCTACCCTGTGGATCCTGGGATCAAATTCAGGTCACCAAATTTGATGACAAGTGCCTTAATCTGTGAAGTCATCTCACTAGTCCCACCAAACCCCTCAAAAATCCCCCAATTTAAAAGCCATTCTCAGAATACGCAGGTTAGTAATTAAAAAGAACCCATGTCAGGTGTGGGCTAGCTTCCTATAAGTTGTTAGCTAGGGAGGTCCCAGAAATCCCCCAAATAATACAGGCAGTTTCTACTTCTGTAGGTTGCCAGCCAGAACTAGATGGTAAGACCCTATCGCTGAAAATGCCACACACTTTGGTCACAGGACTTAGAGAAATCCAGCTGAAAACTGGACTGGCAGCTTCTTCCCTGATGATTAGTTCTCCTGGTGCTGGAAGGTACTATGCAGACTGTTGGGTGAGAATTAGTCTTTACTCAGTTGTGGACCTTGTGCATAACAATACAGAACAGCCATGTGAAGTAAGCCTATGGGCACAATAATGGCAAGTCTGTTATAGGGTAGCCAATCACTTTATGACTAGATTCCATGCCTCCACCTCAGGAGATCATTTACAGCTGGTACCAGAAACCCAGTCAAGAGTGGAATCCGTGATACATCTGGCACCCAACATTTGTGGCACAGATTCACAAGAAAGTTGCTTGCCTGTGGCCTTGCAGTCCCCAGCTCAGGCCTGAGCTGCACATGGCCAGTTGTGGTGACACATGCCAGTAGGATTTGCTGAAGGAGGCGGGGGCAGGAGGATCCTCAGTTTGAGGCCAGTCTGGGAGGCTTGCTGAGGAGAAGCTGTGACCAGGACCAGGCAGGGCCACAAATGGAGGTGGCTGGACCATGGAGGTGGTGGCTGTTGCTCTGCAATGCCGGCTACTTCCAAGGACAAAGGGGTTACTGCTGCTTGTTCAGAGAACAGTTGCCAGGACCATGGAGTTACAAGAAAGCATTGACAAAGGTCGGTTTGGAGAAGTTTGGCCAGGCAAGTGGCAGGGAGAAGAAGTTGCTGTGAAGATATTCTCTTCTAGGGAAGAACATTCGTGGTTCCGAGAGGCAGAGATTTATCAGACTGTGATAATACACCATGAAAACATCCTAGGATTTATAGCAGCAGACAACAAAGACAATGGCACATGGACTCAGCTGTGGCTGGTGTCAGATTGCCATGAGCATGGATCCCTTTTGGATTACTTGAACAGATACACTGTTACAGTGGAAGGGATGATCAAACCTGCTCTGTCCATGGCAAGTGGTCTTGCCATCTTCACATGGAGATTGTTGGTACCCAAGGAAAGCCAGCCATTGCTCACAGAGATTTGAGATCCAAGATTATCTTGGTGAAGAAGACTTGGGACTGGCTGTGAGACAGGATTCTGCCACAGATACAACTGATATTGCTCCAAACCACAGAGGAGGCACTAAAAGTTTTCTGCAGTGAACCATGACCATGCCTAACAGTAACTTTGAAGTCTCCAAAATGATGATGGGGCCCCACAACAATGATACCATCAAGGCGATGATAATATCACTAAGCTGACAAACACCACCCAAAGATTGGCTTTTGTTGCGTCCGCCTCAACCAGCAAGGAAGATGCAACACCAGGCTCTTCTCCAAGCAGTTTATTCAGGAACCTTGAGACAATCTTCTGACCCCAGGGAAAGCCATCTTCTGACTCCAGGAAAAGCCAGCCCACGCCCTTTATAGCCACTGGGCAACCAACCCCGTAGTGCCACGTGGACAATGCCGATAGGGTCAGACATACGCAAGCAAGCCAGATTCCACGCCCAAGCCAAATAAGGAGTTGTTTATCCCAGAGAACACCTGCCATCGGGAAGGCAGAAGCTGGACACCGGCGCCATCTTTGAGGCACGGCCGTGCATGGCTCTCTACAGTTCCCCCTTTATTGTTTTAAGCAGCAGGCAAGAGCAGAGGTCTAATCTCTGCCAAAATACAACTTGGACATTGTACTGGTGTTAGTTCAGGTGTCATCCACCCAGAGAACACTTGACCCGTCCGATACCCTTTTTTGCAGAGGTGGGAATTAGGGTATCAACCCACATGCAATTAGACTTGCTCTTCTTCGGTTTTGCAATACAGCTAGACCCAAGTGCAGTGCACTAGCCTCGCATCCTGTGCGATCAAGCTTTTAATGCGGCCAGCCAGGCCTGGGGAGACTGTCCAGCCTCTATGACTGTAAAGGCTTGGATAATCATGGCTGCATTGCGCTGCTGAGAAACCCTTAAACGAACAATGCACCACGGGCACATCAGGGAGACAAGTACCAGTAGGCCTGCCAGGGCACCTAATCCCGCCCACTCCTTTAAAAAGGTGATAGAATTTCGCAGCCAAGACATCATTTCCGCAGCGGAGGCCAGGTGCACACGGGTGGAGTTGACCGCAATGATCTCATTGCGCAGAATCTGGGTCAGGTTATCAAACTCCACTGACCAGGTTCCGCTCGTGAGTCGATCCTCAGCTGCTCCTGCTGGCACGCTTGTCAGAATCAGGGCTATCGGGATCAGGCACATCAGCTTCCAGGGTGTCATCACGTCTCTCCATCTCAGGGGCCCGTCGCACCAATCATTCAGGTACCCAGATAGGGTCTAGCCGGTCCTGTGGGAAAACACAAACAGAACCTCGTGCTCATGTCAGCACGGGATCGGGGCCATGCCAGCTACCCGTGAGGATATCTTTCCACTTCACCATGCCCTTCATAGGGCTGTGTGGATTATGATGCCTATCTGCTGATGAACTTCCCGAGGCATCCAAATTCAAAAAATTTAAGGTGAATAATGCCAGAGAGAGTCTTTCTCTTGGGGTTCGGTCACGGCCTATTCCCCCTTTTTGTTTTTGAAGAATTTCTTTAAGGGACTGATGCACACGCTCCACAATGCCTTGGCCTTGAGGATTATAAGGGAGACTGTGCGTTAACTGCACATCCATGCGCTGACAGAGGAATTAAATTTCTGTCCTGTATACGCCGGCCCATTATCTGTCTTTAATTGCTGAGGTTTTCCCCATGCTGCCCAGGCTTCTAGACAGTGGGAAATGACATTCAATGCTTTCTCCCCAGTCATAGGTGAGGCATGTATAATCCCTGAACAAGTATCCACAGAGACATAAGGGAATGGAAAAGAAACAATCCTTTATATCCACGGCA